TCATTTTTTTTTTCTTCATAGTGAAAACTTTTATATTTGGAGTTAGCCAGCTGGACTCAGTTTAGATGATCCCAATTTTGTTGGCAATATCCAAAGCATCATAGTCAGGAGCCAGTCGAACATATGCCTTCTTCTCTCCATCAGGCCTGATCAGAGTACTGACCTCAGCCACGTCAGCGTCACAGAGCTTCTCCACAGCCTGTTTAATCTGGTGCTCGTTGGCCTGACATCCACAACGAACACCAGTGTGTTGCTGTCTTCTATTTTCTTCATGGCTGACTCGGCGGTGAGGGGGAATTTGATGATGGCGTAGTGGTCAAGGTTGTTTCTCCTCGGGGCGCTCTTCCGAGGATATTTGGGCTGCCTCCTGAGCCGCAGTGTTTGGGCCGCCAGAAGGTAGGTGACATCCGGATCTTCTTTTTCTTGTGGCTGTGGACACCTTTCATCACTGCTTTCTTGGCATTCAAAGCCTTTGCTTTGGCTTCAGCTTTAGGAGGGGCAGGGGCTTCCTTCTTCGCCTTTGGCGCCATCTTCATGAAAAGGGTTTCTGAGACTTCTTACCACGGGCTTATAGAGCCAACTCTCTATACTTTCATTTTGACTTTTGATTTCTTCTTTGACATTTGGGAGAATGTTTTCAGTTTCTAAGGGAGCTTTTCCCTTCTAATTTATCCTTTTATTATGCACTTCTGGTTTTAATGCACTGTGATCCATGACAGTGGTTTTCAATTCTACTTTCCAGAAATGACTAAGTTTATGTTGTATGTGTGTATTTGTAAATTTCTAATGGGTATTTGAAAGAAATATGTGTTTTTAAATTATGACATATAAAAGTAAATGCATGCCAATTAAATAATTTCATTTTTTAAATCAATTCTAATGTTTCCTTTTTTCCTATTTAGCATTCTAAGAAAAATATATTAAAGACTCTCATTGTGACTACCATTTTGTCCATTTCTCTTTGTATTTGTAATAGCTTTGACTTTTATATGTCAATGATGTTATTTACTTTATTAGAGGCATTTATGACAATTACACTTCCCTCTGTGAATTTAACTTATTCATTGCAAAATGATTCTGTACATTATGCTTTTATCTTAAAATCTACCCTGATACTAATATTGTTATCTCTATTCAAATTTTGCCCATTTTGTGTACAGCAAGTTCTTACAAATAGTATACACTTCATATTAATATGTTCTAGAAATCCCGCAGTGTTTGTGGTCCAGCAAAGGTAAGTTCTGTTTTCCAGGGCTACTATGAAGTTTCCCTTATTTTTCTATTTCTTCAATCAATTAAATAAACATAAGGATTATAGTTCTTGAAACTATAATCCTTATGTTTATTTTCATTCTGTAGATTTTCACTTTTATAAGTTAAAGATATAATATCCTAGGTTTTTTTTCTCATTTTCTTCCAATTACTACTGTCCCTACAGTCTTATTTTCTGGTGCTTCTTATCATTAAAGACATTTTACAATTCTCTAACTGGGAAAAACTGGATACCTTAAGCAACATAAGCAATACGTACCATGTATGACACTGCACAATGTAATTATGTTTGCATTAGGAAAATCCTAGCAAATATTTTTACAAACAACTGAACAGATTGCCAAGTGATATAATTTAATATGAAAAATAAAATTAAATAGTCAAATTTAAACTTATATAATTTTACAGCATTTACTTACGCCTTGGAATCATATTGCCACACATAGATGAGCAGAGAATTAGTATGAGTTTAGAAAATACATTCAGTAAGGAACACATACTTCTCTCTCTAGCTTCACTGTGTCAATAACATGTGGTGTAACACTATGATTTGTATTATTTTTTTCACTTAAAAAACTCTTTACTTATAAATGTAAGTTATCTAAAGTAGAAATGTTCTCAACAACTTTTCTTTTTGGATGGGAATGGGACTGATTTCTTCAAAACATGCCCTGAAACTGACATGGAAAATAGGCATAAGTATTTCTAGTAAATGTAAGAAAAAGACAAACTTAATCTAATAAATAGGGGAAATAATTGGTTAAAATAAATGAATGCTTCATGAGGAAAGGAGCTTCTTAACAGTGTTGGAAACAAAGTGGTGGAAACATTCTGTATCAGCCAGACCACTGAGAAAACATTTGCTACAAAAAAATACCTCGGAGAATACATTTAATGATACAACAGGCCCTGCACTGGTCTAACGTCTACAATTTCATCTAATTGTCAGTAATGGAAAAAAAGGAAGGAAAGAAAGATTACAAAAAACACATGGGCCCCTCTGTCTTTCCGCATGTAATTCTGTGGGGATTCTGTACTAGAATTACATAATAGCAAAATCTGGTCTGTGACATGTAAGAAAAATTATTACAACCATGCTATTTTCCATGCTACATCTGTGAGTATAAAGTACAGTTGAGAATTCAAATTCTCTGTTTTGTCACACTTACAGAACAGTGGGGAACACTGAAAATTTTCCCTATTGGAATTACCTTGAACCCCCACCAGAAATCTCACTAGGGTATTTTTCTTTCTTTTAATTGGTAGGGAATTTTTCCTTCCCTAAAACAACATTTGCTTACTTTTGACTCTTGTTATCAAATATGAGAGACACAAAATGTATGCAAACAGAAATCTGATTATTTTAGCTGGTACTGTTCTTTTCCTGTTCACTTGTCTGGAACAGTGACAGGACCATAGAACATGGCTTCTGAAGGGATCTGAAGGGTGTGACTTAGTTGTGTAAGGTGCCCATAACTGTTTAAATGCTTAAACGGAGAGTGGAACCAGGTGGATATCCTGAGTCCTGTTCCCATCTGTGTGCTTCCCCAAGTGACTCTTATTTATCACTTGTGTAAAGTGATGAAAGAGCCTGATTATAACTTCCTCTAGCCACTCCCCATTCCCAATTATTCCAAAGAGATGCTGCTGAGAAAAAGTGAAGACATGACTTAATGTGGCCAGCTGCTACTCTGTCTTCCTTCTCACCAAAACATATTAGTATTAATAAATGATGCATCACTTCTGGAATTCATTTCACATTTTCGAAGGTCAAAGGCAGCTTGTTGTAAGCTCTACACTTCTATCAAAAAGCATAACATTTGCAATGTAGTTTGCACCTAACTCCCTAGGATATAAACTTCCATAATCTAAACACTTACTCAGTGTCATACCATAGGGCACCTCCGTCAGTTTTCTTTTGTTTCTGTTAGGGATCTGATCAGTGATACCCTTGAAAAGAGCTAATACATGAATTCACTAGGTTCTCCTTTTTTCTCTGAGAACTGAGAGGTGTGCAAGTGATGAACAGCCTTCAGGGAGTCGCCAGGCTGTCTTCCAAGAGGCTCATGAGGCAATTCACCAGTGAGTCCAGCCCCGGAGGCTCGGAAATTAGATTACCATGCCGGGGACACCTCCTGCTCTCTGGGGTGGAGAACAGTACCTCAGCTCACAGACTGACTTATAAAACCAGAAGAGTATCAAGAAATGGGTCCCAACAAGAAATGGGTCTGCCTCAGGAATGTGAGCAGTGCGCCTGTAACTCAGCCCATGGCCTCAAGTCCAGGTGGCTGATCTACGAGAAGGAACATCTGGCAAAGCGAGCCATGCATTCGTGAGGCTAGGGAGAAGGCGTGCTCTTCACCTGAGTTAACGTATCTTGGAAAGTAAACAATCAGAACAAGGGAAGTCAGAATGATGGGCTTTTTAAGGGGTAAGTCGGTGTATCTGTCTCAAAGCGAGGATGCACACCAGGAGGACTGGATCACTGGGAAGCACCAGGGACCACCTGCTGCATGCACGGCCACCAAAGGGTGGTCTCGTCGAGTGGTCAGAAGAGCCTATGCACTGGTCCAGCCTTCCACACCCATCTCCACGGAAGGGGCAAAGGTTATCAGGCTGCTGGACAGAACTGGAGAGGCAATTTTAGTATTGGTCTCCCCCGTCCCACTTTCATAAATAATACCTCCCTCCCCCACCTTTCTGACTGACACTCTTTAATAAAATTACAGTCAAATCTTGGAACTAACCAGAATTTTTTTTTCTGGAAGCTGATTTTCAACCTGGAAACTAATCAGATTTTTTAAGGTAAATTTATACAGCTAAATCTTGCACCATTAGGGTTTTTATTTAAAAGTTTAAACCTTTATTTCAAATTCTTGGGGGAATATTTAACAGTTCAGGCTATTTTCACAGTGTCAGTCACGCATGGGTTGGTCGCTCAGTCATGTCCGACTTTTTGTAAACTTATAGACTGGAGCCCACCAGGCTTCCCTGTCCATGGAATTCTCCAGGCAAAAATACTGGAGTGGGGTGCCATTCCCTTCTCCAGGGGATCTTCTCGACCCAAGGATTGAACCTGGGTCTCCTGCATTGCAGGTGGATTCTTCACCATCTGATCCACCAAGGAAGCCATAACTGGCATATAAATTTTCTTTTCTACTCTTAATATAACCTGCAGTGCCAAGAAACAAACATGTCAGTAACAGGAAACATCATCTCATTTTTCAGAGAATGTCTTCTTCCACCATTCCTGCAGTAGACATGTTTTACTAAACTTTATATAAGAATGTAAACTCCCTGAGGCAGGGATTTTGGCTTATTCACTGATTTATTCCAGGTGCCGAAAACATGGAGTGTTCAATGAATACAACCTACAATCTAAACCACTTCATTCAAAAAAGAAAAATCATAAACTACGATGTGAGGCTCTAAAACAATATATATTATCAATTTGATATCTCTCAGTCTACTAACTTTCAACATGTCATTTTTAAACAAAACCTCTGTTGAAACAGGATTATAATTACGGAAGTATATCATATTTAACAAGATATTTAACAAATGTTTGCTGACATTTATCAATGTAAAATTATCTCAAAATTCTTTATCATTTCAATTTTCATCTTTTTTTCATATTTTAGTTTTTAAATTTATACTGGAAAGAAGTTTCTGGGAATATATGTTTTTCTTTTATAAGTGCAAAGTGGAAGTCAATGAAAAGGCTTTACCTATCACTTTGTTCTTCTTTCCATTTTTTATAGGTGTACAAAGCAAACTTCTAATGCACTGCTGGTTTACATTTCCCATGTTTTCATTCTAAACAAAAAAACAAAAAGCAAAACAGCTAAATACTATGAACAGATTGTCTGCCCATTAGATGCTACAAACTATACTGGACATATGAAGTTATTAATATGCTTAGCTTTTATCAGCTGGACATAACATCAGAGTGTAAAAAATGCACAAATTATAATGAAGTTCATATAAATGCAATATAAAGAAATCAGTCTTTACTAAAAATAATAAGTATCCGTTTTAATTTTTTTCTTATTTTCCATTTTATTTACCTATGTTTCTTTTATTTTCCATTTTAAAGTTTCTAAGTAGCTTACAGTAGTACTAAGCAAAATATTTACTGAGTTCCTACTATCCCTGTGTAGTAGATGTCTCAAGTAACTTAATAAGAAGAGTAGAAATCAGAATCTTTACACCACCAAGGATTCTACAGGTTACAAATTTCTCCTTCTTTAGTTTTACCACTGTTTCTGTTGTCCATATTGCTACAGTCCTAAAAAGGTCTCCTAGATATGCAAATAACAAAGTCAAGGCAGCTGCCTCCAACTGCAAGGCTTTTCTGAAGTTAAATGAGAGAAAGTACTAGAATCTAAAGTTTTCAGTGTATGAGAAACTGACCCTTGTAGGCTAGTTTTCAAGAAAAACAAATACTCATTTTTTTTTTTTCACGAGCTGTTCACTGTGGTAGATAACCAGTTACAGACACTCAAGCCATATGGAACTTAATTTTTGAAAACAAAGTCAGGAACTCTAGCAACACTATCTAAAGAGTGTCAATTGATATTAAGTAGGTAATAGTGAAACTGTGTCAAAGTTAATGATATTTCATTAGTACATGTTTTAAAACTGACAGAAGTACAGAGAAAAATACATAAGTATAGCTGACCACCTCTCAACAGATGTTCTGAGCTCTTTTATTTTCCTTCCTCAGATCAGGGCAAGCACAGATCACTTCCAAAGAGCCAATGCTAGAGCCAGTCCTTCAGTTAAGAGTAACTAGTATAGAGCAGGTCTGCAGGAAAACAGCCGGCAAGCTCCAAGTCTAAAACTGGGTTACTTACTGTCCAGGGAAATCTTTTGTCCTTACTGACATCTGGAATATTAAGTGGTTCCATAGTATTTTTGACATACTGAGCATACATGTAATTGATTCTGTTTGCATCACGTTCCCTGTGGAAAGAACAGAGATGAGTTCTTTCCACGCAGTGAAAAAACACAGGCAGAACAGTCACACAGATGGTTATAAGAGAAACATATCCGTCTTAAATTATAGAGCACGGTGTACAAGTTAATAAGAAAATGAAGCTTTAAACATATTTGATGATGCACAACTTTAGTAGTTACTATAATTGAGATTTTATGAAAAAACAAAGGCTCACAATTTTTCAGCTATTGAAAATAAGTTTAAAATGTCATTAGGTAATCTGATTACCACTGTTAACAGTCATGTTGATTTTTGTGCCATTTAATGTGAAATCCGTAAGAATTTTCCTCTATGTCTTTTTCTCTCACCAGATTATAGAATGACTAAAGTCGAGTGTCTGTTTTTATTCCTTATTTAATTTGTCTACTCATTCCAATAAAATAATCTTTTATACATTTTAGATGAAGAGAAAAATCGAGCAGGTCTAGAATTTTATTAAGTTTTTCTCTCTTCATTTTCTTGCTTTAAGACATGTATTTAAATTAAAAACAATGCTTTTGAACTTACAATATTTTCCCAGCTCTTTTTCCAGTTTCTTGCTCAACAGGTAGAACATAAAAAGTTAACCTGATGTCAGAGGGTTCATAAGTATAATGCTAGTGCCAGAGTTGGGAAAACAATAGAATATGTCTTTTCATTAGGAAACTTCCTACACTCCCTGGTGATGGGAATAAACTTGACAAACATGGTTAGGTTATGGAAATTTCCTCCATAAATCTCTGAAAGGATGTGCCTACAGTAACTGTAAGATCATTAACTGAAGAAATAGGAAAGCCTAACAGTGGGAAGAACTATACAAAAAATATCTTAATGACCCAGATAACCACGATGGGTATCTAGAGCCTAGAGCTAGACATCCTGGAATATGAAGTCAAGTGGGCCTTAGGAAGCATCACTACTAGCAAAGCTAGTGGAGGTAATGGGATTCCAGTTGAGCTATTTCAAATCCTAAAAGATGACGCTGTTAAAGTGCTGCACTCAATATGCCAGCAAGTTTGAAAAAATCTGTAGCAGCCACAGGACTGGAAAAGGTCAGTTTTCATTCCAATCCCAAAGAAAGGCAATACCAAAGAATGTTCAAACTACCACACAATTGCACTTGTCCCAAACACTAGCAAAGGAATGCTCAAAATTCTCCAAGCCAGGCTTCAATAGTACATGAACCATGAACTTTCAGATGTTCAAGCTGATTTTAGAAAAAGCAGAGGAACCAGAGATCAAATTGCCAACATCTGCTGGATCACTGAAAAAGCAAGAGAGTTCCAGGAAAACATCTATTTCTGCTTTATTGACTACACCAAAGCCTTTGACTGTGTGGATCACAATAAACTGTGGAAAACTCTGAAAGAGATGGGAATACCAGACCACCTGACCTGCCTTTTGAGAAACCTATATGCAGGTCAGGAAGCAACAGTTAGAACTGGACATAGAACAACAGACTGGTTCCAAATAGGGAAGGGAGTACATCAAGGCTGTATACTGTCACCCTGCTTGTTTAACTTCTATGCAGAGTACATCATGAGAAATGCTGGGCTGGATGAAGCACAAGCTGGAATCAAGACTACCAGGAAAAATATCAATAATCTGAGATATGCAGATGACAACACCCTTATGGCAGAAAATGAAGAGGAACTAAAGAGCCTCTTGATGAAAGTGAAAGAGGAGAGTGAAAAAGTTGGCTTAAAGCTCAACATTCAGAAAACGAAGATCACGGCGTCTGGTCCCATCACTTCATGGGAAATAGATGGGGAAACAGTGTCAGATTTTACTTTTTTGGGCTCCAAAATCACTGCAGATGGTGACTGCAGCCATGAAATTAAAAGATGCTTGCTCCTTGGAAGAAAAGCTATGACCAACCTAGATAGCACATTAAAAAGCAGAGACATTACTTTGCCACCAAAGGTCCATCTAGTCAAAGCTATGTTTTTTCCAGTAGTCTTGTATGGATGTGAGAGCTGGACTATAAAGAAAGCTGAGTGCTGAAGAATTGATGCTTTTGAACTGTGGTGTTGGAGAAGACTCTTGAGAGTCCCTTGGACTGCAAGGAGATCCAATCAGTCCATCTTAAAGGAAATCAGTCCTGAATATTCATTGGAAGGACTGATGTTGAAGCTGAAACTCCAATACTTTGGCCACCTGATGCGAAGAACTGATTCATTTGAAAAGACTCATTTGATGTTGGGAAAGATTGAAGGCAGGAGGAGAAGGGGATGACAAAGGATGAGATGGTTGGATGGCATCACCAACTTGACTGACATGAGCTTGAGCAGGCTCTGGGAGTCGGTGAAGGACAGGGAAGCCTGGCGCGCTGCAGTCCATGGGGTTGCAGAGGGTCAGACACGACTGAGCAACTGAACTGCCTGAACTGAATAGTGGGAAACATTTCAAAATAAAGTGGTATCTCAGGAAAACTGTCCACTTGCTCTGAGTTCTCAAGTTTCCAATCTTTTCCTATCTTCCATCCTTCTCACTCAGCCTGCCAAAACTGCTTCTAGGATGGTGGTCTCAAATGGTGTTCTTGATCACTAGTGATACCACAAAGACTCCTGAAGTCATGGCCTCATTCCTGGCCAAGATATTTCAGTCTTTCCTTTCTCTGATGTGGCCAGAATACTGGAGTGGGTAGCCATTCTCTTCTCCTGGGTCTGAGACCCAGATCAAGACCTGGCTTTGATCCCTGGGTTGGGAATATCCCCTGGAGAAGAGAATGGCTACCCACTCCAGTATTCTGGCCTGGAGAGTTCCATGGACTCTATAGTCCATGGGGTCACAACGAGTCAGACATAACTGAGTGACCTTCAGTTCTTTGATATACACTTTAGGTTAAGTGCAATTTGGCCAAGTCAGGTAATGACCATATGTACAGTATTATATTCAACGGAAAAAGAATGAAAGGGAACGACCATGGTAACAGAGAAATAGAAGAAATTCAGACTGAACATTTCTGAGCGTAAATTGATAATCTGGGAAGGCATATCTGTTAGACATATCTGACCTAGGATACTCCTGGCTTCCTAATACTTCATACATAATTACCCGGGGGAGAATCCCAAGAAAAGGTTACGAGATAAGTGCAGGATTTCGGTTAACAAAACTATTTTAAAACAATAAATATTTCATGGACAACGGAAGTCTCAGGAAAAGAAAAGAAGCTACAGAAAAGATAAGAAAAATGAAAAAGTATCTATCTCAGGAAAAGAAAAGAAGCTACAGAAAAGATAAGAAAAATAAAGTATCTACAAAAAGAAAGAAGTACACTGGAAAGGATACCTTTGTTCAAATGTCTTTTATAATGATGACGATGATGATGATGATAGATGACTTCTGTTATTACCATTATTTCAACAGAGGGAGCCAGATGAACCCAAATAATTAAGCAGTTCGACCATTTTTTAAAGGAGTAAACATCTTTTTACTATTTTAAAAATAATAGGTGTCCCTGCATTTAACTATAATTATGTTTCCCAATATAATTATAATTAACAAGTAGTACATACATTCCAAGAACATGAGCTTAAAGGACTAATTTCATGTATTTGTCATGATGTGATAAAATGTGCATTTAAAATTAACATGGGGCTTCCCTGGTGGCTCAGATAGTAAAGAATCCACCTGCAATGCAGGAGACCTGAGTTCAATACCTGTATCGGGAAGATCCCCTGGAGGAGGGCATGGCAACCCACTCCAGTATTCTTGCCTGGAGAATCCCATGGACAGAGGAGACTGGCGGGCTACAGTCCATGGGGTCGCAAAGAGTCAGACACGACTGAGTTTAGACTAAGCACAGCACAAAATTAACATGAAGTTAACTATAACGGAATCATAGCACTGAAACATCTATTTCTTAAAATTAAGAGCTTACAAAATCTGTATAACATAACAGTCACTTTTCCTATTAATTAGGTGGCTCTCTGAATTGAAGCACAGAAAACTCTGAAATCTCCCACCATCTGGAAATGATTTTCACTTCTGAAATTCTTGGGTGACACAAACCCCAAGAGCTTACTGTGTTTTATCCCATTGATAATATGATTCTAATAATTATATATAATGTTCACCTTCACTATTCTTTATTTTTATACTTAACATTTCACAACTGTCTTCAATCAATTATTTTCTTTTTAAAAAGTTAATCAGATGGTTGGTTAGAAGAGTACTAAGTGAACCATGCTTTTCCACTGACACATAATTGCCTAAAAAGAATGATCTGCTTATAGCTAACATCACCAAACTGCCAAGCCTTTCATCTCATGAAAGAGGTTTGGATTGACAAAGTGTTTAATAATGAAAACTGGAAAGGCCTAAATTCTATCAATAAGAAATTTCAGAAATGTAATAAAGAATCTGCTGGTCAAGGGTCAGTATCAGCTAGTCGTTTGACAATGCTAAAGTTACTAAACACCATTTTAGTTTTCACAAAATGAAGCCTGATATCTAATTTTTATTAAAATAAAAACATGCATCACAATGAGGTCTTGTACTCTGACATTAGATTAAAAGCTAACTATTAGCTAATGATGAACTTTGGACAGAGGTTCGTGACCTTGTACAGGAGACAGGGATCAAGACCATCCCCATGGAAAAGAAATGCAAAAAAGCAAAATGGCTGTCTGAGGAGGCCTTACATATAGCTATGAAAAGAAGAGAAGTTAAAAGCAAAGGAGAATGTTTTGCCTATGTTCTCCTCTAGGAGTTTTATAGTTTCTGGTCTTACATTTAGATCTTTAATCCATTTTGTGTTTATTTTTGTGTATGGTGTTAGAAAGTGTTCTAGTTTCATTCTTTTACAGGTGGTTGACCAGTTTTCCCAGCACTACTTGTTAAAGAGGTTGTCTTTTTTCCATTGTATATCCTTGCCTCCTTTGTCAAAGATAAGGTGACCATAGGTTCGTGGATTTATCTCTGGGCTTTCTATTCTGTTCCATTGATCTATATTTCTGTCTTTGTGCCAGTACCATACTGTCTT